GGGGCGGGCTTCAGACCCAGGGTGACGGGGCAGAGACAACACTTAGCACCGCCCTCCAGAGCTTGGCTTCCGGTCCTGGCCCCAGTAACCCTTGCAGGGTGGAGACGCGGGGCTCTCCGCGGGGCTCTGGCTCCGGCATCTTTCAGGACATTTACAGTCTCATCCTCCCTGTGCCCCCACCAGCCTCGGGGCAGTTTCTCCAGTTGCTCCTCAGGACTTTTCTGTTGGTTTTTGATGCCAACCTTGAGGCTTGAACTCGGAGCTGGCCCTGAGCTTTTATGCTCAAGGCTGGCACTCTACCACTTGAGCCACAGCTCCGCTTCCGGCTTTTTGCTAGTTCATTGGAAACCAGAGTTATGGACTTTCCTGCCCAGGCTGGCTTCAACCCTCTATCCTCAGCCCTCCGGCTCCTGAGCAGCGAGGCTGACACGGGAGCCCCTGGTGTCCGGCATGGCTTCTCCCCATCCCTCCACTGGGGCCTGAGCCACGCCCCAGCCCTGCCACTGCCTCGCTCCGTGTCCCGCTCACTCGCCTGCCCCCCGAGATGACAAGATGAGGAGCCGGGTCTAGTGCAAGCTAGACAGTGCAGGCCTGAGGTCTGGATCACCCCACAGCCAAGTCCTGGCCACCCACCCCTGCTGCCCGGCTCAGCTCGCTGTCAGCCAAGGCACCCAGAGCTCGAGCTGGCGGGTTGGAGCCGGGAGTTTTGAAATAAAAAGTGTAAAGAACGAAGTGCCAGGTAGCGCTGCCACCCTGGTATCACCCTGTCCTGGCTGTGTCCAGAGAAGTGCCCACTGGCTTCCTCTTTGCCCTGAGCACAGAAGACTGAGGCGGGGGAGCAAGCCCCGGGTAGAAGGAGGGGCAGACTGCCTGCGCTGACCCCTTCATGCGGCAAATACCCACGCGGCCCACCCAGCACAGGAGTGGGGAGGACCAGAGACCAGTCCCGCCTAGAGAAGCAGGCGTTTATTCGGTGGAGAGGCGGTGGGAGGCCTGCCTTGCGGGGAGGGGGGGCTGTCTGTCAGAAGCAGCAGGAGAGACGGCAAAGGAGCAGAGGTCCTGTGCAGGGTGCAGCATATACAGAAGGGGGGGAGGGCGGGGGTCCCAGGCCGGTCAGGGGCGGTCGTGGGGAGGAGGGGGCGGGGGTCCCAGGCCGGTCA